AAGATCCATGGGTTAAAAGCTCCATGGATCATCCATGGACTTCCATATAAGCCTAGCCCATTAACAAAAGAGCATTAGCCCACACTATATAAAACCAATAGCCCATAATCTAATTAGTCTTCCTTTTAATCTCTAAATTAATTCATAATTAATTTAAGACTAAAACTAATTAAATAACATAATCTCATATTAATATATTATAACTTATAATATATTAATAAACATATGTGTATAACTCTCATAAAACTATCCATAAATAGTTTGGATGATATGCAACCCAAATGGACCATGCCGGATCGGGTCAAGTATATACCAAATAAGTTATGGACTTAGACACCTTATCCAACAAGAACGTCCATGGGTTTCTCAGTTACTATCGCCGATCGAAGCACCTGTATTTCTCAAATGTCCAACTTCAAGACTTTTTGCCTGGATCGAAGCACCTCCTCTTCTTTACCATCTAATTCCACCATAATTGCATCCAAATCCTCCTTCAACCGAACCATCACCACATTCTTTCGTCTCACCAATCCTTGGCAGAGTTTATCTTACATGACACCTTAGACACTCAATTCATGAAAATCTCACAACATTCTGTGAATCGAAGCCCTAGAGCCTCCGTCACCTTCAATGTATTGTTCACCATCGTCATCTGGACCTTGATTTCACTCCTCAGTGTCGTGAAAGTCGATGTAGTAATGATCATAGACGGTGATTGTGGTGGAAATCGGAGTCAAAAAAGGGGAATGAAAGTTTGGGATCAGATAACCAGATCTAGCAAACGTTCTGTTAATCGTCATATATCGTCGACTCTTCAGGAAAAAAGAGAGAAAACTTCATAATCGGCTATGGATGTTGAAAATGGAGGAAATTGCGATGGTTGTGTATGTGTGTGTGAGAGAGAGAGAGAGAGAGAGAGAGAGAGAGAGAGAGAGAGAGAGAGAGAGAGAAAGAGAGAGACGTGAGGAATAATGAGAGATATAGAGATAGTTTTTTAAATAAGTTAATTTCGTAATTACGGAATAATAATTATTATTGCCTAATATGCCCCTAAGATTATTTTTAAAAAAGTATAAAATACCATTGAAATTGATAATTACGAAATTGTCATCTTTGATCTAGGTTGTTTAAATTTTTGATCTAACGTTCCACTTTTAGTTTTCAGGTTTTCGGAAAACTATAGATTCTCAAATGATTTTTCCTCTATCTCTCTCTCTCTCTCTATATATATATATATATATATATATATATATATATATATATATATATATATATATATATATATATATATATATATATATAAACGTATATTTTTTAACTCTCAAAATAATATAAATATCAAAAAAAAAAAAAAAAATACTATCACATTATATTTTATCGTGACATATCACATATGCTTAAAAAATGACATTATAAGGAAATAAATTTATCTAATACTTAAGATGGATAAAATTAAATTAATTAATTTTTAGTAAAATCTTTTGAAAACGTTAACTAACTACTGTGACGTAATCTTTTGTGAGAATAAAAGATTACTAAAACGCTGAGTAATCCAAATTAATAAGTTTTTAAAAGGTTAAAATTTTTAGATGACATAAACAAATATGTCTGAAGTTGGTGTGTACACACACTTCCTACTCACGTTTGTTGATGGTCAAGAATTGACATCTAAGATATAAAATTCGGATGATTATACGACAAAAAAAAAACTTTAATTACGGTAATAACAATTTTATTTGTCAATAGAGGTTATTCTATATATTAGTTGCATCAAATTTTGAACAAATTATGTTATGATCAAGAATGCTAGTTTGGTGTGAATGAAGGCCAAAGGGTCTAATGTCACTCTTACCTAGTAGTGAATATAATAGAGTTTGATGTGGTTTTAAGGATAAACCAGATCGCAAACAATAAGATGTCATTTTTGTATTCTTAAAACCGTTGGATGCAGTTTTCCAATGGTTTGATTTTGTGGTTTATAAATGAGGTTTCGGTTTGTATCGATACCGTTTCGGTTTGAAACCAATTAAAAAATTTAGTTTGGTCTTTGATGTATTTAAAAAAAAAAACGATAACAACATGCATCTAAGCTTGTATGATGCAATTTTTTTCACTTTTTGAAACTGTTTATTTATAAAAGTTTATTTTTAGCTCAAAATAAGTTATATAATTCGAAAATTCTAAGTGACTTTACATATAATGGTTGATTAAAAAAAACTTGAATTTTGGTTACTTGTTATAACCTTATAACACACAGTTAATTAGTGATCTACTCTGTTGTGGTTTTAACTACAAAAATAAAAACAACATAGAAAATAAGTTTGGAAAATAATTTCGAATCCCGATTAAATGGCTAAACCCAACTATCAAAATCCAAAGTTCAAATATAATATGTATTAATATTTTTTAGTATTTTAAAAAATGTGTATATATTATAGAATATAAATATAAATTAACGATTTATTATTTTATAAAGCTTCGGTGCGGTTCGGTTTTGATGAACCAATTTTTTGGTAAAAACCGCATCAACCTGCAAACCTTTGGTTTTTACAAAAATGAAATCCATACTATTAGTTTTTGCATCGGTTTCGGTTTGTTGGTTGCGTTTTTATCGGTTTATTTTTAGTTGTTTTGGTTTTTCCCTCACACCTAATCTTACGAGACTCCAGCTCAACTTTTTTCACCTCCACCTAGTAGGGGATCCAAAATTATAGTGTAGAGGGGATCACTTTGTATAAAAATTAATTAATAAAAAATAATAGTAATTATATACTGTATTAACTTTCAAGTTTTATTTTTATTTTTATTTTTATTTTTATTTTATTTTTTTTGCAACTTGGGTGCCAAAAATGTTAAAATGGAGAACAAATATATAAATTATTTAGAAAAAAAATACTATTTTTTTTGCATTGTAGTATACGGTTGTAGACACTTCTAAGTGGAACAATTATATATTGTATTAACTTTCTAAGGGTGTTTTTTTAAACAAATTGGGTGTCAAAAATATTAAAATAGCGACCAAATAGATAACTTTTTTAAAAAAATTATTTTTTTTTATAGTAATATATGGTGGTAGACACTTCTAAGACTATAGGGAGTAGTCACATTTAAAAAGTACTACAAACTTAGCGTAATGTCGGTTTTACTACAAGCTCACTATAAAATCATTAACATTTAGAAATGATTATCATTCTATTTTATTTATCTTTTAACTTTTTTAATTTGAAAAAAAAGTATTTTTTATTTATTTTATCCAATTCCAATCAAAGAAAAATTTAGAAGGTTTAACCAATCATTTTGTATGTCTTCCTCTATCTCCTTTATCACTCCACCCCACTCCACAACAAACCTACCAACTTTTTGGGTAGTGTTCACTAGTAGCCTCTATCACTCCACCCCACTCCACAACAATAAACCTACTAGTTTTTCTGATAGTGTTCACTAGTAGGTTAGTATGCTGCATAGAAATCCACTTGTAACTTACTCCCTCCACACCTTTTACCCTAAGTGGGAGTCTTTACGTATTTTGTTAATCCATAATTAGTAAAAGAATCTATGATCATATAGATTTGGATCTTATCCACTATTTTTAATATTAATTTTTAAATATTTACAAAGTAAAGTTAATATAAATTTTTTTGTTATTTGTTATTTTTTTATAATCTACATTTTTTTTTCAAATGTATATAAAAATGACACTTGTCATTTTCTTATCATTTTCTATTTTTGAAAAGTATTGATTTCTGATTTTTAGACAATAATTTATTTGATTTCTGATATTTATTAGAAGAAATTTAAACTTATCTTGAATAAATTTTGATTATGATTGTCGATAATTCATTATATTTATATATTGAGAATTCTATAAGCATGTTTAATTAATAATTTATTAAAAATAAATAATTACGATGAAAAATTAATTATTTTTATTACTATGATTTCCACACGCTATAAACTAATACCATATAAAATACTTATTACACGATGGAACATTTCTTGAATCAAAACCTTTTCTTATTTTTATATCAAAATATAGCAAATATGCTAATATTTTCGCTATCTGATAAAAATCAATTAGTGAAACATGTCAAGACAATAAAGAATTGCAAAATAAAATAATGATCTTCTCAATGAAATGATCTCCCACCTGCAGCATCAGTCATCAAACCATATGCCCCATTAACACTCCCCCAACCTACACACAACTTTACTCCATGAGTGCTTCCTATCAAATCGTAGAAACTTCTAGTAAACCTATTAAAGTTTAGAGGTATGTAAAGAGAGACAAAATCTTATCAACAGACAACAACAATTAATCCATGATTAACAACAATGCAAATCCTCATAATTTTTTTGCATCGTCTCTGGAGAAAATTCGAAATATAACAAAAAAATGGTGGTTTAAAGAAAATAAACAAGGAAAAACAGATTTCTGTAAATTACCAACGGAAACCCTTTGCGGATCCCTCTTAGCTCTCTTTGGAATTTTGGTTTTTTAACTTTTTTTTCATTCATTTTCATTTATTAATATTATTTTTTTTAAATGCGCTAATACCTCATGTAATTATTATGTAAAAATTTAATAAAAAAATGTTTAAAATAATGAAATGTTTTATGTAATACGTTTGCAACCGATGTATGTTTTCCATGTATTTGTATTGTTTTTTATTTTATGTTCTATGGAATAAAGTAAAAGTTAACTCAACTGGTTTCGTTAATAATTTAATGCAAACCAAATACAAATAAATAACGTAATACAAACTGGTGCATATAAATAACCTAATTAAAATTATACATATATTCCATGTTTTTTATAAAATTATACACATCAGTATTCCGAATAATAAACATACATTAAGTAGGTCACAAAACATACTTTAGAAAACATAAACATACAATCTTCATAATAAACATAATTTGAAATAAACTTCATTCATTAAAATCGAACCACAGAAACTCTGATCTGTTTTCGTATTCCGTCCATAGGTTAATAGTTGCTTATGTACCTAGGTTTACTATCGCTTGCGTCCATTGATTATCTGGCTCTTGCTACCATTGGTACTCGGTGCAACCCTGCCATTGATTATGTGGCTTTTCTTGCGGTTGGTATTCGGTCCCTTGCGTCCATTGGTTATGTGGCTTATACTATCATTGATGTTCGATATGTTGTGTCCATTGGTTGTATGGTTGTTACTGCCATTAATGTCTGGTCTGTTGTGTCCATTGGTTGCATGATTGTTGCTGCCATTGATGTTCGGTATGTTGCGTCCATTGGTTCTTTGGCTCATGCTGCCATTGGTTTTCGGTCGCTTGCGTCGGTTCCTATTCTGCCGCTTTTGTCCCACTCCCTGATGCCCCAATACGTTTTTTTTACTTGTACTTTGGTTCTTTGGAATGATTTCCTTACACGTCCTTGCATTATGAGTTGTGCTATGACATCTACTACATATTCTTATTTTTGGTTCCTCACCTTGATAGGGAATACGATTGGTATTTTTTGGTCTATCGGCTTGACATATTTCCATCATAGGAGGGTTAACAGCAATAAGGTCATCCGGAACCTCCCAATATCTAGGTTCTGAAAGAGGGTATACGGCTTACTCGTACGTTCTTCGATATGTTTCAATTTTATAAGCATCTATAGCCATATGCACACAGTGATCATTTTTCAAGTGCGTTAAAACCATTACCACAATACCACATGGCAAACCAGTTAGTTGCCAATATCTGCAAGAACAAGTCTTTTCCCTCAAATTCACTATGCCGCCACTTTTGAAGTCAAGCACTTAATATGTTGTATTGTCCACACCGGATACCGACCATCATTGAATCCCTTATTTATCTTTTTAACCATATCTTCAACCCACTTCGTAAGTATTGTTGTACTTTTTTTCTTTTAAAACCAACATATATATATATATATATATATATATATATAATTTAAAATTAAACATAATAATACATGCAACCATCCGTCATTTGTAAAACAATTTCTGCATCAGTGTGCGAAAGCACTTAAGAAGTGGTAATATATGCAACTTCCTTGATTATTTGATACAACATTCATGGACTCCGGACTATTTGAGGTCATATAATCATACCTCGTGGTAGGGCAATATGCTTTGGTCCATTTCTCACGTGGAATTTGATTGAGATATTTCGTTACGTCATCTCTTATATTGTCACACCCCAAAACCGGAACGGCGGAAACGTTCTGGGGTGGATGATGTCATGTCAAGTATCACAACATATGCAGTATAGTAATCAAAGTACAAAAACCATTGCATTAATAGTAATAGTTTTACATGGTTTACATTACATAGAAACTTCATCAAAGTAAGACGAGTAATAATATAGATGCAACTTGGTACTGAACTGTCCTCATCCAAAAGCTCCTGGAATGTACCTGTCTAAAGTTGACCTGAGAATACAAGTTATTTGAAAAGCGAGTATCAACATTTTTACAAATGCTGGTGAGTTCATAAGTATTTAGTGTCATTACATCCAAATAACTTTATATAAGTAGTAGTTTTAAAGTATACAGTGAATTAGAGTCTTTTCCAGAAAATCCTATATTTTCTAATTAAATGCAGTCTTCTACCAAGACTGGACAGAGTTATGTGGTAAAAAGTAGTTTTTCCCTTAACATTATCATTATCAAAATATGGTATTGATTTCCAAGAAAGTAGGAGAATATCAGGGAAAATAACATATACCTCAGCAGTGAAGACTGCTGACTAAGACAAAAGTAATCATAGACTCCAGAGGAGTATCGAATGAACGGTACGCCCATTCTAACAAAAAAGGAGACACAGACCCCATACAATATCAAATGAAAGATACGTCTAGCAAGGTCTAAAAAAAAACAGTGAACACATACCCCAGACAATATCAAATGAATGATACGTCTAGCAAGGTCTAAATACAGTGAACACAAACCCCAGACAGTATCAAATGAATGATACGTCTAGCAAGGTCTAAATACAGTGAATACAGTGTTAAAACCTGTTACCTTAAGGCCATGAATTATAAGGTAACCCCAAGACACTCGCAACTATACTAATAGACACTAGAGAACTTGACGCCCTGCAAGCATCGGTAAAAGTGTGACATATGTCACCCTTTGGGCTTGGTAGGCCGGGGACTCTAGCTAGCAGTCAGGGTGTGGGGGTGTCAATCCCGTATAGATCTATACACATAATGCCCGCTCTCCCTACAAGAGACTCTGGTTACTATCCTGACAACGAAGAAGGCCGTGTACTGAAGATGTATCTCGTGTAGTGAGATCTGATGTGAAATACTGGACTAATGATAGAGACTCACAACTGAACTGACTGATGTAAACCTATATGTCTATGCTTGTATACATAATGTATAACTAATGATAAAACTACCTTCGGACGGGTATTCGATCCCACTAGACCACATCTCAACGAAGAAAAGGAAATAGGGCGAATTAGCCTTCCTAAGTCCTTTAAACATTATTTATATAACTATACAAGCATAGGCATACATTTAACTAAGTTTAAGTGTTTAACGAAGTAGGAGTGTTTCACAAGGTATAAGAGTTAACGAATAGGGGCGTATCGTGAAGTAGATGCGTATCGTGAAGTATAAGCGTATCGTGAAGTATAAGCGTATCGTGAAGTATAAGTGAATCGTGAAGTAGAAGTGTATCGTGAAGTATAAGCGTATCGTGAAGTAGAAGTGAATTGTGAAGTATAAGCGTATCATGAATTATAAGCGTATCGTGAAGTAAAAGTGTATCGTGAAGTAAAAGCGTATCATGAAGTATAAGTGTTAACAAGTATAAGTGAGGTAAAACTGATAACAAGTATAAGTGAAGTATAAGCGTAACAAGTATAAGTGAAGTAAAAGTGGTAACAAGTATAAGCGTATCACAAAGTGAAAGCGTTATTAAGTAGGCGTTTAAACTAAGTAGAAGTGAAGCAGTGGTATCTTAGCTAAGTAGGAGTATAAAAACATGGGAGAAATCTTTGATGAAAAACTTTAGGAAAAACCTTTATACTTAAGAAAATCACGACTTGGTATTCTTTTGTAAAATCAGTTTGAAATCCTTTGGAATTCCTTTGGAAACCTTTCATAAAAAAGTTTTAAGTGAAACTTTGATAAAACATTCAGTGTGAAAGTCAATTTGAGGAAAGCTTTGTACAAGTAAAAACGTTTTAGAAAAACCATTTACTATATCATACTTGGTAAAACAGTTGACAGTGTAAGAAATCCTTGTGCATGCGGGTTATCAATCACATGTGATAGATATGATAACTGGCATGTTTAACTTGTATTCCCCCCATAAAACATGTAAAAACATTTAAAAAGGTTAATTCAGGGGTATGAACTCACCTGTTGTAAATGGATCGAACGAAGGTGCCGGTTGGGTGCTCGGTGTCAAGTAAAGACTTGAACTCACTTAGTGACCTATTAACATATGATAATATGTTTACATACAATTAGTACATATAATACTAATTTAACAAGTATACACATCCTAAATTGCGGAAAACAATTTAATTAAGTGCTAGGGGTGTCCCGGGTAACATTTAAGGGTGTGTATGGCTTGGATAAGTAGTTTACTCTCCTAAAACTCACTTTATGTGAGTTCACTGTTGGGAGGCCACATCCCCCATGAGTTTACTGTAACACCCCGAGATTCAGGTATTATTCTTTCACCCTTATCCTTTGTGTTTGGCCATGTTTGGCCCTTGAGTGAATTTTGTTGAGCAAGTGAGTACGCTGGGCGTACCATAGGGGTACGCTGCGCGTACTCAAGTGCTTAAAAATGACGTGTTTTCGTCTGGGTACTCTGGGCGTACCAAGGGTTACGTCGGGCGTACCCGACCTAGGTGCAAAAACCTAATGTCGTGTTGTGCACTATTTAAAGGATGCTAAGGCTCATTTTCCAGCCTCCATATCAGTGAGTAAAACCCTAAAAGAGAGCCCCCATCGTCCTTAGTGTGTGAGAGTGTTGTTTTGAGCTAATAGTGCCTTGGTGTGTTAGTGAAGAAGGAAGAAAAGATCTTGTGGAGACTAGAATCTTGAAGTGCAAGTTTGGATCTGAGATCTAGAGAGAAAGGAGCTGCATTTAGAGGCGGAGGTTAGACCAGCGTTACCGAGTCAGAGATTACCGAGATACCCGAGGTGAGTCTTCTCACTATACTTTACCTAGTGTGGTAACAGAGTTATGTGATAGAGTATTTTAGAGTTATATGCCAGTGTAATTGTATGTTATTTATGTGTTATGATTTATTGTGATATGTTCTATGCATGATTCAGAGTTACAGAGTTAGGACCTTCGGGTCTACAGAGTTAGGACTTTCGGGTCCACAGAGTTAGGGCCAGAGGGCCCATAGAGAGTTGGGACTGGAGGGCCCCACTGAGACACATAGACCTGAGGGTCAACAGAGTTACAGTCTCAAGTGGCTATTATGTGTTAGAGTGGTATTTTGGGGAACTCACTAAGCATTTATGCTTACAGTGTTATTTGTTATGTGTTTCAGGTACCAGCGATGATCGTGGGAAGGCACCGGCATGATTCGTACACACGCACATCGGAGTTTATGTATTTTGATCTTGAGTTTTATACTGATACAATGTTGACACAATGTTTTTACTTATGATTACAAATGATATTTTATGGTTTCCAAAAGTGAAAAATTGTTCAAATTTTTACGGTGTTACAAGTTGGTATCAGAGCCTTGGTTTGAAGGATTCAGATATATCTTCGGGCGTATCTGAACTCAAACTGGGGATTTGAGGAAATTTTTAATAAGAAAAATAATATTTTTGAAAATGAGTAAAAAGAGTTTTGAGATAAACAGAGTAGAGCCGTGTGTACGATCAGCCAGCGCTCGAACGGTGATTTCCCAAAATACCCTCATAATAAGTGATTATTAGATATGTTATGTATGCTGTATGATGAGTTGCGATATGCATGATAGAGTAGACTAGGTATTCTTATTAGAACTAGAGTGGCCTGATATATGATGCCTTAGTCTAGGGGTTTTGCTGCTAGAGATGCTTAAAAGTGATTTAGATAGCAACGAGGTGCTTATGAGAGCTTTGTTAGTGAGTAGCACATGATAGAGAGAGTAGAGTACTTGGGATTTGAGGCTCAAGGAGGAGGACTTAGGATGAATGCCAATGCGGTATGGATGGTAGTATTGGGCCCGTACTACTGAAGATACCGGGTTGGTACGCAGTCCAAGTAAGAATCCTTTGGGCACCAAGGAACGAGTAGGGTGGAGTTATCGAGTGTGATTATACTCGAAAAGGGTCTCTAATATTCTTATGTTGTATTTCAGAGGGAAACCATGGTTGGGACGCGCCACACACCAGTGATCGGCAGTTCGGGTGATGAGGAGATCCGCAGGATCATCCAGGAGGACGTGGTTGCGGCCATCAGGGCAAAGATACCAGAGATGTTCGGGTATATCAAGACCACTTTGATGGAGACATTTAATGAGAGATACACTGCTCTTTCTGAGGCTGCTGTTGCTGCGGCCACTGCAGCTATAGCTGCGACTAGGCCGCAGGGTGGTGATGCATTGTTGTTCCGAGAGTT